ATATAGATATAAAGTATTTTATTACTTCAAAAGTATATTTTATGTTATTTAAAATATATTTAAATTAAATATTACTATTTTAAATTCAAAAAACAACTAGACAGAAATTATTACATAATAACATAACTGGCACAATATTTATTAATATAATTATAAGAAATAAACACATTTTTATTTGTGAGGATCGATTTAAAAGGATCAGATTAATGTTTGCAGACAAAATGACATCTTATGAGAAGTGACGACAAAAATGGATCGGGATTACATTCTAGATGACACCCTTTTAAGCAGTGACGACCATAATAGATTTTTTCCTCACCATATGGCAAAGATTCGCCCTGCAACATAGTTTCAAGAAGTTCTTCAGGTATTGACCTTGTTGTCTCAATACTCATCATTACAAAACCAAACCAGTATTGTTGTTGTTATAAATAAAAACTTGCATGTAGTAACTTTATGTTACATATGAAATATTAAACTTACCGGATGTGAACCCTAAAAAGATAACAAAGACAAATTTCATTGATATGATCTTCTCCATTGTTTTAGTTGTTGAGAAAAAATACTGGTATCTGATTAATGTTGTGGGAGCCATTTTATTGGATGAAATTGGTGTTTGATTTGGTCAACTTTCGTATCAAATTATGGATAGAAAATCATCAAGATATTTTTTTTATAACGTCATACTTTATTAATGATTGAAACTTGCTTTTGCATAATCTTCATGTAGAAGATCAGTTATCATAATTGAAACATAATGGTGAAAACTAAAAGCAAAGTGCAAAAGATAACTTACTTTAATTTTAACAGAACTATTATATTTTTTTTGTTTCTTTATTTTCATTCATTTTAACTATTTCATTAATTACTACTTACCTATTTTTAAGTTCTAATATCTTTTACGTTTTCTTTTCATTCTTTTAAACTATTTCATTAATTTTATTTAGCACAATAATTCTGTAGAATGAAAGTTTTCCGTTAGTACAATAATTCAAAATGGTTAACAAAGATTTTGTTTTTGTTTGCTTCTCTATTATTAAAATAGAAGTAAAAATAGAAATAACTTTATTTTTAATCAATTTTTTTTACATATTTTTTCCCTTATTTTCACTCATCCTAACTATTTTATTAATTGTTTTGTGAGATAGATTGACAACATTTATTATGAAAGCACAAACAAAGTTTCGTGGATTTTGACGTTATTCTTAGGAGAGGAAGAAACATTTTAAAAACGATTGTTGAGCATTTTCAATACTATAATTTGGTTAGTGGGTCTTTAAATAGGTATACTAGCAAGGAATAAATATTTTGAAATTTTCAAAAATTCATAGGGGTTAGTCCACGACTTCGAAAAATTTGGTGGATTTTGACATTATCCTCAGAAGAAGACGAAACATTTTCAAAATGATTGCTAACCATTTTCAACAGTATAATTTGGTTAATGTGTCGTAAATAAATAAACTAGCAAAAAATATATTATTTGAAAATTTCAAAATTCGTTGGAGTAAGCTTCATTACCTCAAAAAATTTGGTGGATTTTGACATTATTCTCATGAGATGACCAAACATTTTCAAATTGATTTTTAAACAGCTACATTAGTAAGTAGTTAGCAAATCTGGACCAAAAAATTGTGCTGTCCAGACTCACAGAACAGGCTGTTTACGGAAACCAAGGCAGTTTTATGTGATACTTAGGTTAGTTTTGATATTTATTTTAATCAATTTTTTATATATTATTTTCCTTATTTTCACTCATCCTAACTATTTTATTAATTGTTTCTTTGAGATAAATTGACAACATTTATTACGAAAGCACAAACAAAGTTTTGTGGATTTCGACGTAATTCTCAAGAGAGGAAGAAACATTTTCAAAACGATTGTTAAGCATTTTAAACACTATAATTTGGTTAGTGGGTCTTTAAATAGGTATACTAGCAAGGAATAAATATTTTGAAATTTTCATAAGTTCATAGGGGTTAGTCCATGACTTCGAAAAATTTGGTGGATTTTGACATTATCCTCAGAAGACGACGAAACATTTTCAAAATGATAGCTAACCATTTTAAACACTATAATTTGGTTAATGTGTCTTTAAATAAATAAACTAGCAAAAAATATATTCTTTGAAAAATTCAAAATTCGTTGGAGTAAGCCTCATTACCTCAAAAATTTGGTGGATTTTGACATTATTCTCATGAGATGACCAAACATTTTCAAATTGATTTTTAAACAGCTACATTAGGAAGTAGTTAGCAAATCTGGACCAAAAAATTGCGCTGTCCATACTCACAGAACAGGCTGTTTACGGAAACCAAGGCAGTTTTATGTGATACTTAGGTTAGTTTTGATATTTATGTATTGCATAGAAATACCTTATAGCCAGTTGAGAGGGTTAACTTCATTGCAATATTATTATGCTGTAAAATATAAACATATTCTTTTTTTTAATTACAATACATATATACAGATTTGCTGGTCCGAACTTGTCTCCTTGCTTAACTGCCTTTTCGACTATGTTCCGCTATCAATACAAGTTTGTTTCATTGTTGGGGTCTGATGTTTAGTTCAAATTTTCACACTACGAGATAAGTTATAATTGTAATTTCTGAAGGGCTTCGTATATAATAAGATTTTTTTTCAACCACAGTGATTCATTGCTCATCTTAAATTAAAAAAAAACAACTAGACAGGAATTATTACATAATAACATAATTGGCACAGTATTTATTAATATAATTATAAGAAATAAACACATTTTTATTTGTGGGGATCAATTTAAAAGGATCAGATTAATGTTTGCAGTTACAATGACATCTTATGAGCAGTGACCTAAAAAATGCATCGGGATAACATTCCTTATGACACCCTTTTGAGCAGGTATGAACATAAAAGAGTTTTTCTTCACCATATGGCAAAGATTCGCTCTGCAACATAGTTTCAAGAACTTCTTCAGGTATTAACCTTGTTGCCTCAATACCCATCACTACAAAACCAAACCAGTATTGTTGTTGTTATAAATAAAAACTTGCTTGTAATAACTTTATGTTACATATGAAATACAAAACTTACCGGATGTGACAACTAAAAAGATAACAAAGACAAATTTCATTGATATGATCTTCTCCATTGTTTTAGATGTTGAGAAAAAATACTGGTATCTGATTAATGTTGTGGGAGCCATTTTATAGGATGAAATTAGTGTTTGATTTGGTTAACTTTCGTATCAAATTATGGATAGTAAATCATCATAATATTTTTTATAACGTCATAGTTTATTAATGATTCAAACTTGCGTTTACATAATCTTCATGTAGAAGATCAGTTATCATAATTGAAACTAATGGTGAAAACTGAAAGCAAAGTACAAAATATAACTTACTTTAATTTCAACAGAATTATACTATGTTTTCTTTCTTTTTTTTTTTCATTCATTTTAACTATTTCATTAATCACTACTAACCTATTTTTAAGTTTTTATTATATCTTTTACGTTTTTTTCATTCTTTTAAAATATTTCATTAATTTTACTGAGCACAATAATTCTGTAGAATGAAATTTTTCCATTAGTACAAGAATTCAAAATGGTCAACAAAGATTTTGTTTTTGTTTGCATCGCTATTATTAAAATAGAAGTAAAAATAGAAATAAATTTATTTTTAATCAATTTTTTATATATTATTTTCCTTATTTTCACTCATCCTAACTATTTTATTAATTGTTTCTTTGAGATAAATTGACAACATTTATTACGAAAGCAAAAACTAAGTTTTGTGGATTTCGACGTAATTCTCAAGAGAGGAAGAAACATTTTCAAAACGATTGTTAAGCATTTTAAACACTATAATTTGGTTTGTGGGTCTTTAAATAGGTATACTAGCAAGGAATAAATATTTTGAAATTTTCATAAGTTCATAGGGGTTAGTCCATGACTTCGAAAAATTTGGTGGATTTTGGCATTATCCTCAGAAGACGACGAAACATTTTCAAAATGATAGCTAACCATTTTCAACACTATAATTTGGTTAATGTGTCTTTAAATAAATAAACTAGCAAAAAATATATTCTTTGAAAAATTCAAAATTCGTTGGAGTAAGCCTCATTACCTCAAAAAATTTGGTGGATTTTGACATTATTCTCATGAGATGACCAAACATTTTCAAATTGATTTTTAAACAGCTACATTAGGAAGTAGTTAGCAAATCTGGACCAAAAAATTGCGCTGTCCAGACTCACAGAACAGGCTGTTTACGGAAACCAAGGCAGTTTTATGTGATACTTAGGTTAGTTTTGATATTTATGTATTGCATAGAAATACCTTATAGCCAGTTGAGAGGGTTAACTTCATTGCAATATTATTATGCTGTAAAATATATACATATTCTTTTTCTTATTACAATACATATATACAGATTTGCTGGTCCGAACTTGTCTCGTTGCTTAACTGCCTTTTCGACTATGTTCCGCTATCAATACAAGTTTGTTTCATTTTTGGGGTCTGATGTTTAGTTTAAATTTTCACACTACGAGATAAGTTATATTTGTAATTTCTGAAGGGCTTCGTATATAATATGAATTTTTTTCAACCACAGTGATTCATTGCTCATCTTAAATTAAAAAAAAAAACAACTAGACAGGAATTATTACATAATAACATAATTGGCACAGTATTTATTAATATAATTATAAAAAATAAACTCATTATTATTTGTGGGGATCGATTTAAAAGGATCAGATTAATGTTTGCAGTTACAACGACATCTTATGAGCAGTGACCTAAAACTATATTAGCTCCATGGTAACAAGTTATATAACCTCTCCCTATTTTGGTTAGATGAAGTTGGTAAAAGACATATGTGTCTTGAGATTGTTGGCTTACCCTTTTGTAGATCTTTAATGATACTAGTGTGTTGATGATGCTGTTTTGTTTATCTCAGAGATAGATATGTTCATGTACCATAGAATGATAACATTTTCTTTTTTCCTCAGATCATTCACATGTCTTGACAAGAATCTAACATTCTCATATTTCTTGCAAGTTTCTTCATTACGTCAAATACATAAAAGAAAATATGTAATGGTAGTGAACCAAATCCAGACAAAAGCCATCAACGGTCCTGAGATTTAGGCACAAGTATGAGCCACCATTTACAGACAACAACAAATAAGTTACATAGAAAGGTGTTTAAGGCTTTGGTCTATTTCATCATTCACAAGCGATTCTGGTCTCAAAACTGCTTAGGCAAATAGCAAACGCTTGAAACGCAGAAATGGGATATCCATAATCCATAGTGAACATGTCCTTGCCAACTTTCCCAAACTGGAGTATAATCCTCTCAGAAGCCTGCTCTGTTTCCCTATCGCTGACAGCCACAAGCTGAAAGTTCTTGACAGAGGCCACTGTGACTCGGCCATGGAAATTTAAGCACCAGCAACGTAGCTGCTCGTGCCATCTTGGCGTCTTATTGCTCAACACCAATGGTGGGTCTCTCAAGTTGTTGTTGCTTGAGTGGCTGCAAGATGCGCTGTTGCTGCGTATAGGTTTTGAGTTAGACCTAGCAGCTCCTTGGGGATCTAAGACACTCATAGGTAATGTATCCATTATGCAACGCATTCTTCTTGGTCCCCTATAATGATCAAGGGATTGTGTTAAAGATGATAATGAAAATACTTTCAGTAAAAAAAAAAAAATTTACCTGGAGCCTAAGACGTTTAACTCATATGAAATGTGAGCAACAGGGTAACTTCCTGAAGGAACTCTAGGTGAAACTTTCATGAGGTTAGAAGAGCGGCTCTTAACCATCTTTGATGATCTGTTCTGTGGCATCAGGTTACCTTCAAAGACCGTGAACTTTGTTCCAATGAAGTTTGATCTTGCAAATAACAGCAAGAGATACTGTTATATACTTATATGCATACCACTAAACTTTCATGTGTGGGCACACTCTTAAGGTGAGCATGATCTTGTTAATAATCTAAACTAAGGAGATGCTACTTATATGCATACCTGACTCTGCCGAGATAAGTGTTGCTTCTCCTTGACATATCGTCTGAGCGCAAAGAGATGATGTAATCAGTGCAAGTTGCACGCTTCAGCTTACAAGCAGCAAGAAGAAACTTCCCGTTATCAGTCAAAGCTGCCATAAAACAAATTTAACCATTAAACTACAGAACAAATATTGTTTCTCTTAGTGTAGAGTTTAAACAGAGATGGCTTACAGTTAGTTAACCCGAGATAGAGATGATAGGATTGTGTATTCCTGTTACGTTTTATGAAGCATTGAACTAGTGAACCCCTTGGACCAGGCTGCATAACCATTCAAAAAGTACAAATATCAACTTAACAGCAACACCAAACTTATGACTCAAAAACATTTCGCATTGTTCAATATCATTGCTATACAGTAACCAAGAAATTGTCTTTTAGCTACCTATCAATCAGCAAAGGTACTAAAAAGCTATTAATAGCTTAAAACGTAAAACGTCAAATGAGATCATGTGATCAATTCCTAACGTACAACAGTTTAGGAGCCATTCTTGAGTTTCATACAAAACGCAAACGCAGCTGAATTTCATATGTTGTAGGATTAGGTTTTACACCCATTTTCACTCTAATGGAATGCATCAACTAAAACATTTCTTTCCACATATAGATAAAGGAACAAACTTTATGTTTCTAAGTCCATCACATATACTCAAAAAAATAGACATAGACATAAACAGAGAACAGAACCAAAACCAATCTTGTGAGTATGTGACTCAGAACATCTCGCAATGTTCAATATCATTCCTCTATATCAACCAAGAAAGTGTTTTTTTATCTACCTATCCATTATCAAATGGACTAAAGAGCTATTAAAACCTTAAAACATTTCATAACGCACAATGAACATCAAAGTTTAGGAGCCACTCAGCTGAAATTCATATGTTATGTGATTACGTTTACACCCATTTTCACTTTTAATGGAATGAAACAATTAAAAAAGGTAACCTTTTATCCCTACAAATAGATTAAAGGAGCAACCTTTATGTATTTAATTCCATTACACATACTCAAAATAGACATAGACCTGCTTGAGAGAGATTGGGTATAAGGTTTAACACCTATTTTCACTTTGTCAATCAAAAGGGTAACTTTTTATTTCTACAAATAGATTAAAAGGAACAAACTTTATGTATTTAAATTCCATAACACATACTCAAAAGTAGACATAAGACAAAAAAAACAGAGAACAGAACCAAAACCTGTTTGAGAGAGATTGGGAAAGTCAATTTAGAAGAGAGTTCAGGAACAGCTACGATCTCCTTCACTAGCATCCTCCACACACGGCAAACACCGGCGCAAGCCACCACGCTCCGCCGTGACGGCCAGTCTCCATCATCAGCCGACTCAATTCTAATCAAGATCTCTCTCAGCAGCTCATCAGGAAGCTCTGACCATCGAAAAGGGTCAAAACCAGGAGTAGTAGTTGAGGAGGAGACTGCTGCTGATTCGTGGACCACACGGTGCGGTCTTGACCGCATTTCTTGGATCAAACTTCGGATCGTCATGAGACTTCCGGTGAGATCATGGAGACATGATTGTGAGTTAGAGGAGAATCATTTTGAGAGGTGTTGTTGAGAGACGCGAAGAAGAAGATTCGGACAATAATGGAGGAGTTGTTTTTGTTTTGTCTTTCTTCCTTGTGACGCTTTTTTACCGCTTCTTTTATTATTACTAGATCCCTTGTCCGCGCTACGCGCGGAAATTTTGGGTGTTAATTTTTTTCAAATGAAAATTTGTTGGAAAATAATTTTTTGTTTGTTCGTTTTGCTAGTTTTCCTTGGAATAGTTTTTTTAGGACGGATATTTTTGATGTTTAATAGTTTTAAATTTAAAATCGTTGTAAAATATAATTTATTTGTTCTGTTTAAATATCTGATGTTTAACTGATTTTCCGCTGAATATTTTTGTATACTTAATAAATTTTAATTTGTTGTGTGCGAATGTGATAACTAAATTGAATGATGGATACAATATGTATGTTATAATATTAGTATTAAATGTAAATTTAAGAAAATTTCCAGTACTTGAGAACCTCAAAAGTTGATCCTTGGATTTTCTTTTTAAAGTTGTGAAATAATACCTTATTCATTTTAAGTGGGCGAGTTTATCTCGAAAAATTAATACTTTATACTCAATTACTTTAAAAGTTGTACATAACTTTTATGATTGAGATTTTTTCTAATAAATCAAAAACCAGTCTCATACTGACTTTGTTTACGGTAAGTTTCTAAAGAGTTATTGTAGTTTGTGAAGTAGTTATTAAAACTATGCAGTAGACGCAAATAGATTTGTATATATGTTTTCGGTGGATTTTTCTTTTGGGAATACCGTAAGTAGCTTTATGTGGCTAGAACTGATTATGTTTCTTCAGTCAAAAAAAAAAAAAAAAAACTGATTATGTTTCTGACCAGTTTATGAGTTTATCCTAAAGGTACTGTTATATTTTTGTTGTGTTAATATATTAAAAGAATTTTATTAGAGGTTTTGTGTTAAGGTTAGTTTATTTTTTTGGGTTTTTTGGGCATTGGGAAAGTTATTTTAAATATTGCATAGTAACTGCAATTGTTTCTATTACAGAAATTTTAAATAGAAAATGTTTAAATGTCTTTTTATATCGGGCTGTTAAGTCAGAGATGGTAAGAAATTAGTGTTTACATGACCTATGTTTATGTATTGTTGACGTAAAACTTCACTGATTTATAAAGTTGGGGACATTGGTAAATAAATAAAACACCTCAATGCTCCCGTTATTATTTAAAGTCGTAGTAATTCTTACACCAATAAAAATAGTTTAAAGGGACAACTAAAGTTTAAAATAAAGCTAAGTGGGGTTGACGGCTGCAGAACGCAGATTTGCTTCACCAACTCCTGTCACTTGAAGAAACATATCGGTTGGAAGGAAAGGAAGTGTAAGATTTTCTAAGCTTCCTGCAGCAACTGGTGCTCGAAACAAAGGACCAGCCATTTCGTTGGAGGAGACCTACAAACAAAATCAGCTACATTTGTCTTGAGGAGGAAAACAGTGATAACCTTAATTAATTCTATTTTGAAACAACATACGAGTACTACGTTTTTTTT